GCTGCGGTGAACAAATGATGCCGACTAAAACGTTTGTGAAACACCCCTGACATTGGTTGGATGTTACATGCTGCGCCTGCAACAGGCTGCACGGGCCATTTTCAGGCCCGTGTCGTTTTCAGCCCGAAAGCCTGAAAACAAGGGCCTACAGGCCCTGTGTCGTTTCAGCCTGAAAGCCTGAAAACAAGGGCCTACAGCCCCTGTGTCGTTTCAGCCTAGAACAGGGCCTTTCCGGCCCTGAGTCTTTTCAGGCTGAAACGGAGGGCCATTTTCAGGCCCTCATGAGATCCACCTGCCCTGAAACTCAGGCACCAGACCAGGGTTTTAGCACAGGCCATTTTGGGCCTGTTTTCAAGACAACCCTTGGTTGAGCTTCAACGCCAGGGTCTGGCACGTTTCGGCATTGGCAAGAGCAGCCTCCGGGATGGGCCAGCACTATATAGAACTGGCCCGCCCTGCAGGCTGCAGGTAGTCCATAGGGACTTCCCAGGCACTTCATGTGCAGTTTGGGAGGCAGGAGGTAGTCTTCAGGATTCGGCAGCAGCACTCTTCAGCGCTGGGCGCTAGTAGTAGCTAGAGTAGTACTGGAGAGAGAGAGAAAGAGAGATTGGGCGGAGGCCAGGGAGACTTACCTCCAGCAGCTCCAGCTTCGTCTTCGAGGTACCTGCAGCACAGCGCCAGCTTCACAGGTTAGTACCTGGCGCATGAGAGAGAGAGAGAGAGAGAGTTCTTCTTCTTCCTCTTCTCAGTCCACCATCTCCCTCTCACCCTCTCGCTACCTGACTTCACTGCATCAGCAGACTACGAGAGAGCGGGATTGGTGACATTCGGATCCAGACTCGACATTGGGCTTCAGACATTTTGACGAGGGATTATTTGGGACTTGTAACGAAGACTTGGTGTTGACGACATTCCCATCTCTCCCCCCTCTTCTTCATCTGTTTCCCTCCTCTTCGTCTGGTGCATGATCTGGACCTCGCGCATTCTTCCTGTGTGTAGCGCCAGGCCCCTTCACACCTTGTGATGAGGATGATGTATGTTTGGTCTGCGTTGCGACATTGATT